TAATCATAATAAATCTTCTTATTATGCTAATAAAATTACAATATTTTTTTTACAAATAGCATAAAAAATCAATTTTATCTTAAAAAAAACACATTTAAAAAATAGCAATTTCATAACCACCTTTTTTTTTAAATTCCCGAAAATACAATTATGAAAAAGGAAATAATATTGAATTACAAAAACTAATAGCTACCGTATTAAAGACAATATGTGCAGTAAATATGGTATGATGTAAATACTGTATGCTACATATACGGTATGTTGTAAATATGGTATAATGCAAATATGGTATATTGTAAATACGATATACTGCAACTATGGTAAGCTATAAATACGGATTGTTGCAAATACGGTAAATTGTAAATACGATATGCGTAAATACAGTTGGCACCGTTTGTAGCCTACTTATCGTATTTGTAGGCAACTTACCGTATTTACAGTTTACTGTATATGCTGCCTAATATATTTGTAACTTACCGTCTATATGCTACTTATCATATTTGTAACTTACTGTATATACCGATTTTTGTACTTACAAATATTGAGAATGCAAAACACCATACATTCACTTACCAAATCGAATGTCAGAAAAAAAATTCTAGATGTTTATCTTTTCAACATAAGCATAAAATAAATATTAAAATATATGAAACACAAAATATAAATGTATATGAATATACAAGTCGATTTATAACTTTGTGCTCAATCTTCAATTTTCCAATATTGAATTAGAAATATAATTTTCACATTCAATTAAATCATATCAACACTATTAAAGAATACATGCAAAATAATATGTATATTTCTTATTCAAGTATGAAATATACAAGCATATTTTTTCTAGAAAACATAATGCTGTTGCAATTGTAAAAATAATTTGTAATTATCTTCTTATATCATGAAAATATTTCTAGATATTACTTCAAAAACTTTCCAAAAACTAAAATTCATACGCTAGTAAAAATATGATAAATACAAAATTCGTGCAACGCACGTGATAGTGGTTAGGCAGAATAAATGCTAGATTGAATGCTCTCTATTTTCTGTAACTTTATCGGTCAACATATGTATAAAATGACCACTTAAGAAATCAATTATGATACAAGTAAAAAACATCTTGATAGCAATTTTTTTACAGATAAAACATGGCGAAGATACGTTGGAGAGTGGGAAAAAAATCAGACAAATCAAATGTCGCCACGAGAGCATCTATAAAAATTCTCTATGCTCGGAGCTCTTTCCTAAAAAATATAACAATTATATTTATGCTTATAAATCACTTGTAGTGTAGTTTATTCACATATATTGGTAATTAAAACAATTTTATGATTAACAAACACATTAACATTTGTTGACGTAAAAAAATGAGTAGGTCAATCTTCGTTAACTTAATTAATGATTTTTATGAGGTAAATTACTGAAATAGTAGGGGGAAAAATAAGAATTGTATCAAAAGGAAAGTTTGTATAATGTGTATTGTATGTCCTTCCCTCATCCCATAGGAAAACCATTTGGTCATATTTATAGGCTCCCAAAACAGCCAATTGACCTCCAAAAATAGGTTATCTACAATGCATTCCTTAAATTATGTGCCACTATCCATGACTTCTTTAGCTCTTGATTGGTCCTTTGAAGTCGTATACTCAGTTTATGATGATGTCGAGTATGGTGAGTAATCATTGCAAGCCTTTGATTGGTTCAAAGTTCGGCACAATTATCATGAGTGCCACGTGTTGTTATGAGAATGGTCGCATGGGAGGCAATGATATCATGGCAAAGTGTGGTAAAGCAATGATGGTGTTTTCTAAATGACGGTGGTATGGCCGAGTTGACCTAACATGGAGAGCTGACTCGTTATAGGTCGTCGAGCTGTGTTGCTTTCCTAGGTCGAGCTGACATGTTACTGGTGGGCTGACCTAACTTGGTAGAGCTCATAGGTCGAACTGACTTGGTGATCTTTTAGTCCGTCCTCTTTGAAGTTACTATTGAATATCCACAAGCTCTCATTCTTAAATTAAGATAAACCCGAGTTGCTTTTGTGAGTTTTGACACCAACAACATTCACTATACGTTACCTTTACCAACAATTTGATTTTCATGATAAATAGCAAAAACTTTTTAACGTTTCTACTAAAAATAGTATGATGATCGAATAACTTACTAACTAAGAGATCATTCAAGAGTATTGAATACATCTATCTTTATGATTTAGATGATAGTCATTTTTTACTAATCGTTTCTTCAAAAGAAGTCTTTCGTACATCATAATTTTAACTAGTTACTTTTTACGAAATAAAAAATAAAAAAAAATACCACACATGGCATATGCATTGCAAAAAATTATGGATGAGGTCGAGTTCGTTTTGAAGGGGAGGGGGGGGGGGGAATCAATTTTAGATATATATTTTTAGAAGAAAATTTTGATTTGAAAAAATAAAAGTTTGTAAGTAAAACGTTCCTTAATATTTATTATAATTTTTTACATATTGAACTAATAATTATTTTAGATTTTTATTGAAGTCCTATATGGTTTTAATAAAATTATTATCTTACGAGTTTAGTGAGATTATTTATTTAATACATTGGCCCCAGTCGGACCAAATAATCATGTTATTCAAATGAGGTTATTGATTTATCGAATTTTTATTTCTCAAAATTATATTGTATTTAAACCCATCTAAAACAATGAACGATAATGTCTAATTAGTAGAAATCTAGGGGTTTTAACCAATTCAATTTGATAGACTTTTAAATCAAATCATTTTAAAATGTTTGAGAAAAATTCAAATCTAAATCAAACTATTTAAAATGGTTTGAAACCTAAACCTTAATGATTTGGTTTGATTTTAAATCATGGTTTGACTATATATTTCTATGTTCACTTTATCCATTATTATAAAATATTTTCATACTTATTGGTGATAAAAATAGAAAAAATCAACAACTGGATTATGTAGTTAGGATAGTTATTATATTGTATTTACATCCATCTAAAACAATGAATGATAATGCCTAATTGGTAGAAATCTAAGTGTTTTAACCAATTCAATTTGATAGACTTTTAAATCAAATCATTTTTAAATGTTTGAGAAAAATTCAAATCTAAATCAAACCATCAAAAACGGTTTGAGATTTTCTCAAACCTAAACCTCAATGATTTGGTTTGATTTTAAATCATGGTTTGACTATATATTTCTATGTTCACTTTATCATAAATTGATCCATTATTATAAAATATTTTCATACTTATTGGTGATAAAAATAGAAAAAATCAACAACTGGATTATGTAGTTAGGATAGTTAACTAATCGATATTTAGCATAGTCAATTGACCAATATATCCACTTTTATATTGAAATTTAATATTTATATTTCATTTTAGAGGTTAAGATTGTAATTTAAAAGACTTCTGGCGAAAATGTAATTTTTTTAAATTCTAATTTTACTTTTAATTTTTAAATGGTGTGACTTGATTTCAAACTGTTGTTCAAATTTCAAAACGTGAACGATTTGACTTATGGCAAAATCGTTTTGTCAACGAATTACGTGGCACCAAAACAAAGATTAAAAAAAAATGATTTCGATTCAATTTTCTAGTTTGTAATTTTTGCTTATACTGTTCAACTTTCATCTTGGAAAATGTCGATTATGGATCCACACTAAATTTTCCATAAGATGCACAATCTTTTTAAATTTTCATTATGCTCTGTTTGATGTAGTTTAAAAGATCAATTAAAATTTAAATCAAAGTTAACAAATATTTTTAATCGCATATTTCATGGGATCCGTATCTTTTATCAACTTTTTAATTACATATTTCATCAATTTCTATCAAAATTTATTAAATTTTTAAGTACACCAAACAAGGGTTGTATTTAAAATGTACTTCGAAATTTTTGAAAAAAAATCAGTAGAAGAGTGGGGTGAGATGATACAAATCCACGTTTTATGTGTTTCTTGCTTACCATAAAAAAAAAAAAGAAAAAAGAAAAAAAAGGCATGGCTATTTTGTCATAAACAAGACTAACATTTTTTTAATTTTCTCTTTTATGGTTATATTTAAAAATAAAAAACCCCATGTGGCAATGGGTATGAAAGCACGTGAAATTTTGAAGAAGTCAAATACATAATGAAAATTCTAAACGTATAGACCATATTTACAGAGCCATTACAGAACTTTAAAAAAATAATGACTTGGCTCCTAAAGGAAAAGGAAAAGGGCCGGAACCATAGTGTTAAAAAAAAAAAGGAGGGAAGCGATTGACTTCTCATTCTTTCTTCCCAAAAACAGAGCCCTAAAATGGTTTAGAGGAAATGAAGCTATTTCCCATGAAATCCCGGTGAATCTTACCCGTTAGAGGTAAATGCGCCAATTGGCAAATTTTCGGCTAGATTGTGAAGGGAAGTGAAAGGGGCGTTCGACGTGTGCAATTTTCGTTTCCTTTAACTCGTCGGATTACTTCACCGGTAAGAGGAAAGCAGAATTTGAGGTTCTCTCCAAATATCCAATGTCAGGTACCTCATTATTTTTCTAGAATTTACTTGTAAACAATAAGTGGATACATGAAGTTATTTATTGGAGTTGCATTTGATTTTGTGGGTTCATATATACGAGCTAAACAGGGAAACGAGTATGTCAAAACAAGATTACAGTGTTGATTTATTTGGAAAATAGATTTTTTATTTCTGGGCACTTGTTCCATTATTTCTACTTCTGGCACTTGTTTTCTTCTTGATTTTATATATGTCTTGTGCTATACACAAAAGGTAGACAATTTTAAATGTTTCTTTTTACATGTATTTTCCAACAATTATCAGGAACTTGAGGTAAAATGTTTGGACTGATTTATCTTTTTTTTTTAGACTAATTATTGACGCTTAAACTTCCATTTTCCTTGAACAAGTTAGTTGAAGTACTTTATCATATTGCTTCTCGTTTCTATCATTGGTTTTTATTTTGCTGAACATTATCTTTCTACTTGGACGCAAAGTGAGAAATTATGGAACCCGAGAACAAAAATGGTTTCATGAAATCCGATAATGAGATAGTTTCAGACAATATCAACGTTGTGGATAACGACACCTTGGGAGGAGATGGAGAGATTGTGCACGAGGTGGGTATGATATTTAAAGATGAAAAGGAGTTGTTTGATTTCTACAAGCAATATGCATATGTAGTTTGTTTTCCAGTCAGAAAAAGAAATTTGAAAAAGGGGGATGACGGAGTTGTTAGATTTGTGACATTTACATGTAGTCGTGAAGGCCGAAGGTCTAGTAATACAAACAGTGCTTTGAGGCCACAACCAACAAGTCAGACAGATTGTAAAGCACGGATATCTGCATCTGCAGACTGTCATGACACATGGAGAATTAACACCGTCAACCTCCAGCACAACCATAAGACAAGTCTTTCGAAGTCTAGGTTGTTTCGGTGCAATCAGGAATTAAGTACAAATGTAAAACGAAAGCTTGAATTGAATGACATAGCGGGAATTTCACTGCACAAAAGTTTCAACTCTGCAGTTGTAGAGGCAGGTGGGTATGAGAATATGACTTGCGTTGAAAAAGATTATCGAAATTATATTGAACAAGTTAGACGGTTACGACTTCGAGAGGGAGATGCAGCAGCATTACAATCTTACTTTTCACAGATGCAAACATGGTGCTTAAGGTTTTACTTCGCTATCGATTTGGATGACAAGTCTCGGCTTAAGAACGTATTTTGGACGGATAATAGATGTAGGCAAGCTTACAAGGAGTTCGGTGATGTTGTAACCTTTGATACCACTTATTTGACGAATAAGTACGACATACCTTTTGCACATTTTGTTGGTCTGAATCATCACGGACAATCAACACTGCTTGGTTGTGGCTTGTTATCAAATGAGAATACAAGTACGTTTGTCTGGCTGTTTAGGACGTGGCTTCAGTGCATGCATGATCAACCTCCATGTGGAATAATTACTGGTCAAGATAAAGCCATGCAGAATGCAATTGAGATTGTATTTCTGAATACTAGACATAGATGGTGTTTGTGGCACATTATGAAGAAATTGCCAGAGAAGTTTGGGTACCACATTGATAAAAGTTTGATATTCTCGACTATACATGGTTTGGCATACGACTCGCGGGCTGTTGATGAATTCGAAAAAGGTTGGAGAGCCATGATCGATGAGTTTGGGTTGCATGACAATGATTGGTTGTCTAGATTGTACAAAAATCGAGGTCGTTGGGTGCCTTTCTTTTTGAAAACAACTTTCTGGGCCAGGATGTCTACAATACAACGAAGTGAAAGTATGAATACATTTTTCGATGGATACGTCCATTTGAAGACCTCTTTAAAGCAGTTTGTTGAACAATACGAACGAGCACTAAGGAATAAGGTTGAAAAAGAGTTCTAGGCTGATTTCAAATCATACTCGTAGATGGTCCCATGTGCAACAAGTTTTAAGATGGAAAAACAATTTCAATTAGTATACACAATTTCAAAGTTCAAGGAAGTTCAGGATGAGTTTATAGGAAAGATTTATTGTGATATCGCTTTAGAAGTAGAGGGACTGGATGGGGTGAAGTACGAGGTTCGGGAGTCTGTAGTGTACCCTGAGCGTAGGAAGAAGAAAACATTTCTCATCTCATTTCGGAGGGACACTAGTGAAATGATGTGTAGTTGCCACTTGTTTGAGTTTCAAGGAATTATTTGTAGGCATGCGATCATAGTGTTCGACCATAATGACTTCACAAGAATGCCAAAGAAGTATATATTGTGGCGGTCGAGGATAGATATTAGTAGGGCATACACGAGGGTCGCAGTGAACTACGCCGGGTTGGTTAGTACGCCTGAACAATTAAGATATAATGGTATGTGTCAAGCATTTGTGGAAGTGGTAGACCTTGTTGCGAGTGACGAAGGGCGGGCTCGGGCGATAATGGATTGAATAAAATGCCAAGCAACAAAGTTGAGTATGTTGAATCCTAAATCGTCAAACATAAAGGGCGCTAATACGTTACAAATCACCTTCCAATGAATTTTTCGTACTTAACTTAAATGTGTCGTCTTAAATAGTATTATGGCAAGTAAGGGTCATTTCCTACGGAGGATTGATTCAATTATGTCAATTGCGCACTAAAAAGTAAAATTAATAATAATATATGAAATAGATTAAATAGGGGGGTTTGGTTTGTTGAACTAAGGAAAACAATAAATTTAAACTATAAAAGACTTGAAATTTGAAATAAACAAATTAGTTCTTGATTGAATGTGAGAAAATGTGATTGGGGGATATTTCGTCGCTACGATAATGATTTTCATATCAATAATCACAAAAGATTTTCATTTTCAAGATTAACAACAATTCGAGAATAATTACAAACTCAATTACCTCAATCTTTTCTTACATGTTAGTCGAATAAAGCAAGCTCTTTACTCAATCCTATTTATTAAACAACCTAGAACAAGCTCTCTAGATTTACTTTAACAAACGCATTACGACAAAAGAGATGAATTGAATTAGAGGTAAAAACTCGCAAGTTCGGTTTACTAACTTAAGTGTTAATCCACATACATTTAATTGAAAATTCTTCATAATCTATCGAAATGTAATTGCTACTAGATTTTAGAATCAATAGCTATTACGTACTACTAATCCTAAAATAGCATTCATCGAAATAACTTAATCATTTAGTTGTACATCTAAACAATCAAGACGAACAAAATAAACATTTAACATAATGGATTAAACACATTAATCAAGAGAATTATAAAGCACAAATTAATTGATAATCATGCCTCGGGTTTGAAATAATCCCCAATCACAAATATAATTAGTTACCCATGAAATATTCACAAATAACTAACAATTTCTTACAAAATATTGATGGAAAAAGTGAAAAGAAAAACTTATTGATAAAGAGAGAAATGGTAGAAAATCCTCCAATATCAATGGGTCATCTTCTCCAAGCTAATGTACCATTTTCACGTTCCAATCTTTCCCAAAATGTTTATAGGTGACAGGAAAAAGAAAAAAGAAAGAAAACAGAAGGCAAGAAGAAGAAGAAGAACCAGCTGCTCTCCTAGAGTTCCAAGAATGAAAATCTTGTGTTTGGTTGAATGTTTTAGCCTAAAACCTAAAGGAAATTGCAGCATTGGTCCCTAGAATTTTGAAAACAATTAAAAACGGCTCGGGTGGTGCCTGGGCGCCACAGTTTCTGTTTTCTGTTTGCGATGCCTAGCCCGCTAAATTTTTATTTATTTTTAAATAGAAACATCCTCTTTCAACATCTTCATGCTTCCTTTATCTTTTTTCGTCTTTTCTCGCATAAATATCTTCAAATCATCGTTCAAAGTCGGGTTTTCACCTACACAATAAAAATAACTAAATTAAGTAATAAATCAATGAAACTCACAAATATATAAGTTTAATAGCCCGGAATAGTGCATAAACCTGCACTTATCAGGTGCGCCAAGGAAGCTTAGGAAAAAAGGCCCGTTGGAGTCTATTTCGAAGAAGGTAACGGTATTTTTCCCTATTAATCTCTTCAAGTACAAATGAAGTCCACAACAAAATTTGAATTTTGTCTATGTATGTGCAGGCAAGTTCGAAGTCAGACAAAGGAAAGAGGTTGAGAGATAGGCGCACTAATATAGAAGAGGCTACACCTAAAGTCCAGCAATCTTAACAACTTCAACATTCGCAGCCAACACCATTCTCATATTCACAGCTTTTGTTGGTCGGTAAGCATAATTTATTTTCATAGTTTCTATATTTTTATTTTCTAATTATGTTGGTATTGGACATAGGGTGACTTCGAAAGTCAAGTGTGTACGTAACCTTCATTCTCATCTCCGAATGTTGTATTCAATTCACAAGGTGAACACATGTTTATATAATCATAATTAACAGTCGATTTTCCCCTCCTTTCATGTGTTTGCTGACCCAAATTTTCATTCAGGTACGTACTTTGCTAACCGGCATTTACCGCATCTCGAAGTTGCAATGATTGGGATGAGCCAAATGGCGTACAATTTTCTTCAGGTTCATTTTTAGTAAATCTGGATGTTAGACCATAATGTTGTTAGCCCGAATTTAGCGTCTTATGTGTTATGTTATTTTTCCCCTTCTTTCAAGTACAAGGTGCAAATTTATTTCCAAGAGCAACGCACTTGGCAAATTTGTCCATCGTTTTCCCAAATACTCATCCAACAACGTCGTTTCACAATTATGCTGGAATATCAAATGACAAGTGAAGTTGAAGATGCTAAATTGGGTCACACTTTGTTTCAACATTCGTAGCCAACACTATATTTTTGCATAATTTATCCATTGTAATTGTGAGGTTGTTTGTGTGTTTTATACATGTTTAATGTGTACCAGATTTTTTGAGGTTTTGGAATCTAAATGTTTCATGTGAAATCTTGAGTTTTTGGAGAAACTCTGTCTACTATGAGCTTTGCATCTCTACATAATGTTAATCTTGATGCTTATGGTTTTGAGTTATAAAGCTCTATAGTTTCATTTTCTTACCCAAAAGAAGGGGTTGAAATCACATTCTGAATGCTAATTTGGATATCCTACTTTGTAATATAACATATAACACAAGTTATTCTACATGCACCAGGAACATTATCTTATTCCTATTATATTTCTTTTCTATTGATTTACTGATTCTTTGATTCATAAATCTCTTACCTCCTTTTGGTCCTTATTAATTTGTCTATGAAAGGAATGTGCACATTGATTATGTCTGCATCTATTCCTGTTTTGAAGCCTGCTGAATGTGTCGATACTTTGAGGTTTCAAGTGTACTAAATTTTTTGAGGTTTTGGAATCTCAAAGTGTGTTTGATTGATATGAAAAATATCACTTAGAAAAAAAAATGTTTTCCTTGTTTTGAGGAAAATAAAAACCACCTCCAACCAAGGAAAATATTTTCCTTAAAAACAAGGAAAATTAGGCATATTTTTAAAAGTTGAAAAATATTTTCCATGAAAAAAACAGCAATCAAACACTCCAAGTTGGAATTTAGGTGGAAAACTAATATTTTCCATGGAAAATAAATGTAATCAAACACACCCTAAATGTTTCATGTGAAATCTTGAGTTTTTGGAGAAACTGTGGCCATGATTTCTGGACATAAGATTGAGATTGTCTCTTTTTTATAAATGTTTCATGTCTCAAAGAGTTGCAACTGGTCCTGTTCTCGGTTCATACATATTGATATGGCAACAAGTACTATTTCTACCAAACATTAAGTCAAACATTAAATTACAAAACCATATTCTACATACGTTTTTCGATAGCAAACGTCAAGCAAAAACATGTTTGCAAAATATCAGTTTTGCGTACTACCTATGGGGCGTGGCCCTTCCCTTTTCCATTCCCATTCACCTCGACACTTTCCTTTCCCTTACGGAATGTCACGTTCAATGAAATTTCAATGTCTCTTTTTTCAACTATTCCGGCTAGACTGTCGAACATGGTCGGTAAATCTTCGGCTTCCTCGATGGCTTCGAGATTCACTATTTCATTAGTCGTGCTAGATTCACCGCTTGATTCTTTGTATATGACCTAATCAAAATACCCACAGTTAACACTGCATGTTTTGAATAATCGCCCTTTGTTCTTGTCTCCCTTTGAACTTCAAAATATTTTTGCAATCCATGCGTACACCATGGGCATCGTTGTTTTATCGGGCAATTCAGGAAGGAATGGTTCGTACTTCTACAGCCGTGACAGACACCAACATTCCTCCCCCTCATCCTGGAAGAAAAAAAACAATGTATTCGATAGCGTGAAAAATACTACAAAATTCAAAGGTCCCTTTGTTCTTTCAACTTGGCAAATTATCAAAATAACCACCAACCCCACTTAAAAAAATACATAAATTCTGTAATGCTGCAACAAAAACTGGAATTTTCCTTTACAGAAAAGCTTCAACCCCTTACTCTAATACAAATTAAAAGGTCCACAAAATTCCCAATTTATAGGGAACTAAAAGATAATTTGGTTTGATTGATCAATAATGTTAAATAACGGATAAAGTTTACAGGATTTAGGTATATTGCTTAACATAAAAGAAAGATGATTATCACTATTTTCATGTTATGATTTCTTTATTTAAATAAAAAACAACAATTATAGGCATGGCAAGATCAATTTTTCTTAGACATTTCTTTAATTCTCAAGAACGCAGTAATATGAATACATAATAATCACAACTAGTGCAACCATATTCCACAAATGTTCCTCCAGCGAAATGGATCACAGAGTAAGACATAGCCGAATACTGCACAACTTCTAAAGTTTCCAAAAATCGAATTTCACAAATCGAATTTTTGCCTAACGTTCATAATCATAATCTTCCATTCACACCACCATATTCCCAAAATTACCAAACAATACCAGCTTCTGGAAATAACTAAAATACGAAGTGAAATTCGGCTTACCTGAAGGTAAAAGATATCAGATACTGGTTGGACACTACTCAGCAGACTGAAAATGGGTTTTGAGATGATTACGACGTTCTGATTCCACGAAAAGGGGAAGCAAGATAGGTTGCTAGATGTGGATTTTGCTGCGGCGATTCCTCGATCGAGCTGCCGGAGGTGGTCTCCACAGAGGCGACTCGTCGATCGGTTGGTCGGAGGTGGATTTCGACCGGGCAGAGGTGGAGGCGATTTTTAGGGTTCCAAATGGTGAGAGAATTTTCGTTTCCTTTATTGTTGTTTCCTTTCGTTATTGGGGCTCTGTTCTTGGGGAAAATTCGTTCTTCAAGGCAAACGACGCGTCATTCTGTGAAGGTTCTGTGAAAGAACCATTCTGTAGGTCTAGCACTGCCGCATACATAATGCCATGAAGAACATAGAATAAGACTCATTCTCTGCTTGAAAAAACATTAATCAAGTTCAAAGTTCTCGTGTTTCTCAATTTAGACTCTAATTTGAAAGCGCGGTTCCTCAGTCAACCACCCACATTTTATCATTTTACAGTATCAAATTTTGTATACTACGCTTTTTTGTGTCTATGCATCCTTGTATATAAATCATTGTACCAGCTAACCCATTGCATTGATCAAAAAGAAAGGTAGAAATATCAGAAGAAACGAATTTTCGAGACCCCCATATCCAACTATTGAAGGTTGTTGATTTTCAGATCAAAGAAAGAATGGCCGTGCCTCGATATAATTGGATCAACATAATCTTCATATTCTCAATATTCTTTTTATTGATATCAAGTAAGGTTTGAGCAATAAGACCTTTAGAGGGAGAGCAATGGAAAAAGAAAACTCTCGTCATTCAATCTCTTCCAAGAGGCCCCGTCCCACCCTCCGGTGGCAATCCATGTGCATACATTCCCAGAGGACGAGGCCGTGGACGTTGTACACTAGCTGAGAATGAAGGGGAATTTGATGTCCATGTTGCTAGTGTTCCTAAGGTCACACTTCATTTTGCAGTAGCATCATTCAAAAACTGAACCAAACACGAAATAAAGAATTTGGTTTTTAAATTGAGTACTTATTGTACTTACTAGGTGTTGACGTAAAAAATTGTAGGAAATTTATTTAAGCCAACTTTAAGTAAGAGGACACTTTGTGTTGATTGAAGAAGACTAAATCATATAAATTCTCTTCATTATAGAAAGCCAAATAGTACGATGCTTGCGCCTCCCCCTGGAGGGGATCATATTTCACTATTTATAGGGGGTTTGGTCGAAATTATGTCGTTTCAATCAAATCAGCCACTTGTGCTAAGCTCAGACCATGTCTCTCCCTTGATTGGTTAATAAGGTCGGTAGCCATCACGTCACTGTTTCCTTCAAGTAATGATGGACTGCAAATGATAGGGGAGTCAAGGCCGTTGATTGGTGGGTATAGGCAGTGCTGACGTCATTTTATACAAGTGTTTATGATTGAAGGGATGATGTGACAGGATATAAGGAATCTGCAATCATTATATCTTTTGAGGTTACGGCAGCAATATGCCGAGCTAAGTTTTTATGACCAAGCTCATACATGTATGAGGTGGGCCCTGCGAGCAATAGATGTGAGACCGGAGGTTGGTCGTCAACACTAGGTATGACTAGCATGGAATTAACTTAGCCAATTTAATGTGTATACCAGGAGTGATGAACTTCGAAATGCAGATGTCCAAATATACTATATAACTTTTTCGGGTTGTGTTTTTTCCTTGGTGGAGATTACCTAAAAAGTAGTTCCGAAACTCTAGATTATTGTAACTCTACTGATATGATTCTTTCATTGTTCAATTAATTTTTTTTTCCGAGTGTCCCTTAAGCCCTGTTAGATGGCCATTATAAAGGAAACTTTTTGCCGGGGGGGGGTTGGGGGTGGGGGGGATGTTTTAAGTAGTGATTCTTTTTTAACAATATGTGGTCAAAAAGTTAAAAAAAAAAATTTACGTACAAAATATTTTATTATGAGAATTTATAGTTAAAAATAAAGAATTTTAAAATAATGATTGTCAAACTGGGTGTAACCACGTTTCCCTACTATATAAAAAGGGGAATGTGAGGGCACTGTAGAAAGCAACAGTGTCTTGATCAATCTTTACTGTAGTATTTTTGTTTTTGTTTTCAATTGGGGGCCAAAAACGACGCCATTTACTTGATATGTATTTTATTTTATTATACACTACCTTCAAATTTACTACAACACGCAATTTTTCATTCGTCCCCAATCCGAGATATATATAGTAGGAATATAAGAAAAAAATAACTTTTATATAAATAAAAAAAAGATAGAGATAATATGCGACAGAAATTTTTTTGCAACATATTACTCGTAAGTAAAAAATTTGAAGAGAAAAGAATTAAAGAAAATTTTAAATTGAAAAAAAAATTATAACGTAAAACTACACAGCAAAAAAAAAAAAGAAAAGAAAAAATCCATTTTTTTTTTACTTATGTTTTTGTGTTTATTTTTAATCTCATTACGGGATATCAAACGAAATCGAAATATTACATTCTTAATATCGTTTTGAAGTACTCGCGACATAGTATTGTACGTCGTTAACGGTGCGTGAAACGGTCAATCATAGCAAATGTTATGGAACTTCAAATTAGGCATTTTCAAACTATATTTCGAAATTTTCGATAACAAGCTAACTTTAAAAATTCATCGATGATTGTACGATAGTCGAATCAATAAATGTTTTACATTCTTTCGAAACTCATTTTGAGAACTATATCGTAGAGATATCGAATGATCTAAATAGATATCAAAAATAGTTAAACAGACATTAAACATATTTGTTAAAAAATACGCATAAGTCGTTTTTCTTAAAAAAATCAATTTTTTTTATTACTATTTCGAAATTTTCGATAACAAGTTAACTTTAAAAATTCGTCGACGATTGTACGATAATCGAATCGATAAATGTTTTACATTTTCTCGAAACTCATTTTGAGAACTATATCGTAGAGACATCGAATGATCTCAATAGATATCAAAAATAGTTAAACGGACATTAAACATATGTATTAAAAAATACGCATAAGTCGTTTTTCTTAAAAAAATCAATTATTTTATTACTATTTATTCTTTTTCGCAACAATTTTCTCAATGCATCATTTTGCTAAAAAAAATTATGTGGTATGACGAAATTCTTTTTTTCCATGCACGGAGTGAATATATTTTTTTCATCATTTTATATATTGAATTATTACTAAAAAATTAACTTTTATCTCAAACTATTAAAAAATACTGATTATTAATGAAAAAAATCACTTTTATATATATATAAAAAAAATATAGAGATAATATGCGACAGAATTTTTTTTACAACATATTACTTGTAAGTAAAAAATTTGAAGAGAAAAGAATTAAAGAAGATTTTAAATTGAAAAAAAATTATAACGTAAAACTATACAGAAAAAAAATTCTCTCCGTGCACTGAGATATTAGTCTCCATGCACGGAGACGGAGGAAAAAAAAATGGGAAGGGCCTTCGTGCACGGAGTGAAATAAATTTATTTTTTTTTATTTATGTTTTTGTATTCATTTTCAAGCTCATTACGGGATATCAAACGAAGTCAAAATATTACATTCTTAATATCGTTTTGAAGTACTCGCGGCATAGTATTGCACGTCGTTAACGGTGCGTGAAACGGTCAATTATAGCAAATGTTATGAGACGTCAAAGTATGCATTTTCAAACTATATTTCGAAATTTTCGATAACAAGCTAACTTTAAAAATTCATCGACGATTGTACGATAGTCGAATCGATAAATATTTTACATTCTCTCGAAACTCATTTTGAGAACTATATCGTAAAGACATCGAAAGATCTAAATAAATATCAAAAATAGTTAAACGGACATTAAACATATGTATTAAAAAATACGCATAAGTCGTTTTTCTTAAAAAAATCAATTATTTTATTACTATTTCGAAATTTTCGATTTATTCAAAACTTTAAAAATTTATCGACGATTGTACGATAGTCGAATTGATAAATATTTTACATTCTCTCGAAACTTATTTTGAGAACTATATCGTAAAGACATCGAAAGATCTAAATAAATATCAAAAATAGTTAAACGGAGATTAAACGTATGTGTTAACAAATGCATTTTTCTTAAAAAATCAATTATTTTTTTCTTTTTAATTCTTTTATCTTCTAAATGAAACTTAATTTTTCAATTTTTAACGAAAAAGTTATTTGTAGGTTAAAAAAATTGAAGAGAAAAGAATTAAAAAAAATTATATATAGTGTGGTCTCCGTGCACGGAGGATTATTCAAATTTTTTTTTGTACTTTTCCGTTCTCCATTTTCATACGCTATGGCACGCCTTTTCAAATCAACTCATTTGCTTATATTATTATATTATATATATAGTGTAAGAGAGGCAATGTGAATTTATGTAACACGCAACTTTCCATACCTCCCGCCTTACTTCGTGCTGACTACTTTTATATGTAAAAAAAAAAAAATCACTTTTAGTAAAAAAAAAAATTTAAACATAAACATGTTAACAAAAAATATTTCTGATATATGTAAAAATTACTTATATAAGTAAAAAAATTCGTTTAAAATTATTTAGAAGTAAAAAATAAAATAAAGTTATGAAAATAAAATGAAGAATATATAAATATTATTTAATTAAAATTGAAAAATTTACTTTATAAATAATTGGTTTTTTTTATCAATTTATTTAAATTTCTTTTTAATTATTTTTTCTTTCAAATAAAATTTATTTAATTTTTTTTTTAAATTCTTTTGCCCTACCAACCTTGGAGTGACTATTGTATCATCCGAAAAATAGGCCCGCTGTTAGAGTTCTAATTCTTACACCAATAAGGGAGTTGGTCATCCAGTAAGTGTCACTTCAAATTATTTTACGTGCAAACCTGAGTTTATTATTTAAATGTTTGTGTATGTGGATATTCTCTTTCAATTTACAACTGCATGAATTATTTTTGAACTACAAATATAGTCTTTCAAATCGAAGTTGCTAAAGAAAAGCAATTTGCAACTTATTTGCAATATCAAATAAAAAAAATCTTCATCTACATTAAACAAATACAATAAATAATTAAAAATAAATTATCGTTGACATATATACAATCACAACATTCATTATACTTATTTATAAGAATAAAAATAAATTATCGTGACATAAAATATATAGTTGACCAAAAGATGAGAATCAAATAAACATTTCTTATTTTCAAATATTTTTTGTACAATCTATAAATTTTACGTTAAAAAAATCAAAATAAATACAAAAATTCGTGCAACGCACGAGACGCATACTAGTCTTCCATTAAAGCAACAATATGCCATCAAATTCTACTTTCCAATTTTCTGTGCATTATGGGTATTTTATTCTATCCTACATATGTAAAAGATGCTATCTTTGCGATGACACGTGCAGCTATTCCTTTCGTCAACATCTAATTCAATTTTTTCTTTCCTCCCTTCAAAACAATGTCGTGCAATAAACCCTCTCCTCTCACGCTCTCTTCCAAAGGAAATGACTCCGGTCATGATTTCTTGGGAGCATAAATCAGCCGTTGTTGCTACATCGTTGCAGTCGCCACTAGGGAAGGAGTCATCTCAAGTAGACAATCAATTGCTCGACTCAAATTTTATAGTGATACTACCGGCACTTCTCTCGTACTAATCTGCGTTCTGGGACTTGTCGTCGATTTTACAGTGATACTACACTTCCACTCTCTATCATCGTCCATCTCTCCGCCACTCCCTCCGCCTTGAGTGTCGCCGGCTTCTGTACCCCGTGAGCCCTTTCTTCTCTCTCTTTTATTTATTTATTTTTTGAGCTTTTAGTATATTTTTATAGATTGATGGGTGATTTATAGATTTAGTATTGTCGTTTGTGAATTGTGATGAATGAACAATGAAATTAATGATGAATTTTCAAGGAGTTGTTGGAATTCTATGAATTTGAATGGGAATGGATTGTATGGAACCGTGGGTTTGGGTTGGTTTCTCTTTGCTCTCTCAAACCTCTATTTTTTGATTCTTCAAATAATTTTTTCTTCTGGTTTTGTATTAAGTACTGGTGATTGGTGAAGGCAAAATAGATGATTAAACTAGAACTTTTTTACTGTTATAGGTTAGGTTTTAGCTTAAAATCAACTTTTATTGTATTAGCCTATTAGGCAGATATGGTAGTGTATTAATTGATATTTTGTGTGAATTTTCACATTTCTTGTATCTTGGATTTTTCGTTAATTGTAAATTGCAATTTTGCTTGCAGGAAGTTGATCCTAAAGTGGAGAATGAAGACACATTAGGCCCAAATAACATGGATGGTTTTCTATCTAACTTAGCAGATGCTATTCTAGGAATTGATGTCAATTATAATCTCCATTTTTATTTGACTATCTCATTCATTTAGTTTCTTCGTATTTTATGAATCTTTGATTGCAAATTTTGTTGGCTAATGCTCCACCCTTCATTTAGGCTATGATCTTTAGTTCGAATTTCATGGGATCGATATACCTAAAAATAGAAGATGGTAGATTTTATCACTTTATCCAGACGTTTTATAACAGTCTGACAAATATAGCTAGAATTTCTTTGTCATTGATAGCTTCTATGGAGAGAGACTCCGAGAATAGACAGATCAATTTTTCATTCAAAGGATGGACGACCCTTATAACCTGAGTGAAGATAGACTTGCTTGTATTGAAATAGAGAATTAATTCCTTGACAATTAAAGTAGTTCAGAGTTTTGGTATAGACCCAAGAGAGGTAAGAATTTGGCCCAGATAATTGTTATCCATGTTATTTCAGTGAGGGAATCACAGGAGCTTAATGAATCTATTCTAAACAGAGAGTTGACTCTTTGACAATTTTTTCATTTTGCTGATTTTCTCTTTAATTTTTCCAGTCATATGTTTGGACCTTGCTCTTTACCTTTTATTTCAATTTTTTGATGTTTTAAGAATTTGTTATAGGAATTTTTGGTTATTTTAGAAATTTTTTTTTTAATTAACTTTCATGACAATTGGGATATCTACATTTCTAGATCAATTGTATTACATTAAGTTATCTATTTAACAAATTTATGAGACTTAGTTTTTAGCTACCACATCACTTTACTTCACTACAACATAAAAGAGGCTAACTTTTGGAACTATTTATTCTATACGTGTCACAGTTCCACGTCGTCAACCATATCGACGCCATTTAAGGATTTCCCCATTTCTTTATATTCAACATCTCCATTGAAACTGAAAGAAAAATAAATTAATTAATCTTGAAATTTTTCGTTTCGATCAGTGTTGTTGTTCGGATTCAACTTTTTTTGAATTTGAATTACGTTGATAATTGCTTTCTGTTTGATTTTGGAATTTATTCTTCTTTTCTGGTTGAGATAATAAATAATGTCTTTTGAAGTATGAAATTTGACTCACAAGGTATGAAGTCTATGCTATAAACAATTCAAGAAATTGGTTTTGATTCCCTTAGAGATGTTCTCATATAGATGTTGTAATTTTTTCTTTTTAATGAAGTGAGATTTATCAAAAAATGGGTTTGTACGTCGATTTGGATTGGTAAATTGTAACTTTCTTTCTCTTTTTTCTGTTTTTGGAAAAACGGATCTTGGTCGTCTTGATTTGGTTTTAGGTTTATATATATTTGGAATTTGTATGGTTTATGATCGAAGGATTGAATTTCTGTGAAACAGATTTGCATGAATGAGGTCAGCCATGCAACGACATCGTCCACGGGGGCGGACCCAGAGTTTTAGTATTGTGGGGTCAAAATTTTAAAAATAATTTTTTTAATAAACAACATAATATCAATGAAAATAAATTTATATGTATTTTGACACTTTGAAAACGTCGTATAATTATATCGTTATTAATATTATTAAATAAATTTTGTCACTTGTATAGTTTTATTTATTATTTCACTGACAAATGCTGAGCTAACATTGAGTAAATTAAATTGAATATAGAAATTAAATGAATTGAAATAAAATTCAAGTTTAGTTTAGAAAGTAAATGAAATTCAAATTTAAAGAAAATATAATTTGAAAGTAATTCAAATTGCATTTAATCCGTAACGATCCTAAAAAATTTACGTTATATTTCATTTAAAACTTCCGAATGAAACGATATAAATTTTATTGAAAAATTTATCGTGCAAAAATGATAATTAATTGAATTTTTTAAAAGAAAAAATGAGTTAGACGTCTTTTTTGAGGCGTACGTTTGATACATATTTAACTATTTTTGAAATCCGTTTGGACCATTCGATATGAAAACGATATAGTTTTCGAAACAAAATTTCACATGGCATAGACAATTTGTGGACTCAAATAACACATGATCGCAAACGAATTTTTAAAGTTAGGATATTATCGAAATTTTCAAAATACTAGTTTCCAACGGCCTACTTTAAAATGTTATAACTTTTGCTATAGTTGACCACTTCGCATGCCATTAATGAGTGAAAAATTAGGTCATGAGTACTTCGAAATGATATTAAGAATGCAATATTTTGATTTCATTTAGCATCCCAACAAGTGCATCAAAGTAGATTGTAAAAAACGAGGGGGGGATTTTGTGGGGTCATTTGACCCCACATGACCCCATGTGGGTCCGCCCCTGATCGTCTATACGGAAGAAATGTTAAGTCTTGAAATCAGGTGGATTTGCTACTCTTTGTTACAACTGCGGGTATTTTTCTTAATTCCAATTTTATACCCATGTAATGAATATTTGGAAAATGGGAAAACCAAAAACATATGTAAAAAACATTTTAAGGTTATTAATGCTCTTCTATGATTAGTTTAAGATAAGGTAGTAACATTATTTCACTTATATATAATTTTTGAAGATTTAGAAATTTTAACATTTGTTTCTATTTAACCTGGAGACAAAGTGGATTGCTTAAGTTTTCTAATCTAATATTTGCTCCATCTATATTTGTTATCTTTTGCATTTAATTTCGGTCATGGTAAACCCATTATTATATTACTTTCGTCGGTTGATGAACAAAAGTTCCATATATTTGTTTTGAAGTCGTTTGATTGAATTGCTTCCCAATGTATAATCATTGATTCTAATGTGAATTAGATACTCCAATTATTGAAATCAATATTTATTGCGTTTTCTTTCCGATTAATCTGTTGGTTGAGTTACTTTTGTCGTGTAAATTCATTTAGATAGTCATATCGTCTATCTATTCTGTTCTTTCCTTGCTTGATTTGACCTTGTCTGGATTTCAGATTGACTTATGAGAATTTATTCTACTACAAAACATTCCATCCAGATGAATCTGGTTGGAAGCAATGCGCTATGTGTGGGAAGGTAATAATATTTTTCGAATTGTTGGCTTTTCTACTTTAGTTTCTTCCCGTTTGCAGGACTCTATTGAATTTGTTGTGGCAGTGTATCCACTGTGTATGCATCGCTTCAAGACAGTCACGTGAATACATGGATTTTAGAGGTGTAGGGTACAAAAATTAAGCGTTCAGAAATTCATTTTGTGCGATCAATGCAGGTAAGAATTATTTTCTAATGATGCTATGCATGTGCGAATGAGAAGATTACTTTTCTGTAGGTCATGCATTTCTTTTTGTATTTCACATATTTATTTTTATAAAGTCATGCAGTTTAGTTGATAATATTATAATTGAAAGTTATAAAAAGAATACATGTTGGAAGTTGAATGACAGCTTGTTTGACAAAGCTTCAGAAAAAGTAGTCATCGATCGAAAAAAATAAAATTTATTTCCTACTTGAAGGGAAAAAAACTGTTCAAAAACT